GCTGCTGCCCTTGTGGGTAATAAGAAGGCTCTTTGCTGTCGCACTGGCTTCCCTTCCCAGGGCAGGGCCCTCCTGCCCCGAGGTGGGCCCAGGGGGCTCGAACATGCACGTGCCCAGGTCTCAGTGTAACCGGCAGCACAGGGCATTCTAGTGAAGGGCAGGGGCTGGGGACCTTCAGGCATCATCAGCCTCTCCCGCGGCTCTCTGCGCACAGCGTAAGGCTGTACGAAGGGCAGAGCATGCGATCCCAGTAAAGGACTCGAATGTCTGCGTTCAGGGAAGTGGCATGTTCTAGACCAGTGGTTCTCAACCTGCGGCCAATCAGCACACAGCTGCGGCCCATGTGACATCCTCAGGGCCACCCAGGTAGTATTGGATGCAGCCCACATAACACATTGTGGGCCGCATATGGTAAATGGGTTGAGAACCACTCTTCTAGACAGATATGGTGCCTCAGGTTCCTCCCCCAGGCTTAGGGCATCAGGGGCAGAGTTAAGGTGATTTGGGTGCCTGGCCTGTGCGTTGCCCGTTTGTCAAAGGGTTGGGTCCTTAAGCTTAACCTCAGCTCTGGGTTTCCAATGACAGTGTTCTCCCAGCACGACAAAGCGGCTGTGCCTGCTCCTTAGACAGGGGGCTTTGTTCCCACTGCACCAGATATGGAAGCATCCCGGCAAGGAAAAGATTAATCGCTCCTGCCTCACCCATTGGGCTCTTTGTCCTAATGAGCCTAATTAGCAGTGTCACCCCAACGAGCCTGGGGTCCCATCTCCAGCCTGCATCCTACCTTCTCCACCCTTCCCCTCTGCAATCCAACCCTCGCCAGATCCTCTTCTCCGCCATACTCCCATTCCCGTTTTCTCTCTCCTCCCAGGATTCTACCTCCAGCCATGGCAAGGGTGGGTGTAGAGACATCTGTCAAGGAGGGCGGTGTTCAGCTCTCAGGGCACAGCTCTCTCTAGGGAAACCTGGGCTGAGGTGAGGGTAGCTGTCTGCAGTCCCAGAGGCCCTGGGGCTGGGGTTGCTGTAAGCTTGGGAACCTTCCTGAAATTCCATCCCCTCTTTCCCTACCCCAGTGGAGCGCCGACGCAGGGACAAGATCAACAACTGGATTGTGCAGCTCTCCAAGATCATCCCAGACTGCTCCATGGAGAACACCAAGTCAGGGCAGGTAAGCGAGCCCCCCTGGAAGAACTGGTCACGGTCCAGAGACCGGCGTAAGGGGACCAGACTGCATTGGCTGCATTTCCCTACGCCAGTGTCGAATTCGGCCCCTCTCTCTAGAACCAAGTGCTTCCAGTAGCTCCCCTGGCCTGAGCAGGTGGCTGGGGGGCGCTGTGAAGAGGCCTTTTACCAGTAGGTCATTGGCTGAAATCTGCCTCAGACTGACAAGCCCCGGTGCTCTCAGATGTTATGCCATTTTGCAGCTGGGCAGATGCTCATCTACCTCCAGATTTCTGTGCTGATGGCGCAGAACTGTGCTCTGGAGCCTGATTCATTGGAAAACAGCTCTGACATCTCTAGTCCTCAAGCTTGCAAAGAAACTTTTCATAGAGGGAACTGCTGGTGCCAGGGCCGTCAACTGCCCTGTTCATCCCTATGGGATGTTAACACTGAACCCTAATGATGTCAGCTGTAAAGGTCACAGTCACTGCTGTCAGCAGAAACCCCTCCAGCTCCCTCCCCCGTGGCCAGGCTGGCCCTGCTGGGCTGTCA